ATTACTGACAAAAGATATATATAAATAATATAATAAATATATATGTATATGTAAATATATAAGTGTGTGTGTGTGTGTGTGTGCATATTCGAGAAAAGAATAATATTGATACTTATTTCCAAAAACAAAAGTACATTTTTTAGATTTGTTTTAGCTGTGAATTAAAAAAGGCTAATTAAAATTAATTATCATAAATACAAACTTCATGATTACTTATTAATCCCCTACTTTTGATTTTGTGTTATATCTAAATATTTTCAATATACCTGTTGATGATGAAGTTCTTCAGATGGTCTAAAACCCAAATTTTCTCTATGTCGAGATAAAGATGTAGACAACTGTTGCCTTTTGCACTCTGAAGTGGCCATTTCCTACAAACATTAAGGCATTCAAAATGTAATTTAGGCTCACTGGATAACGCAACATCGATAAAATTCAAAAACTACTTACTTCGCCTTCATTATTAAGAAGTGTAGTGGTCATGGTATCTGCTGTAAACCACTTTTGACCCTTCATGACGATATTTGATGGTGGTTCGTGTGTAGCACCAATATCAGCTGACCATACCATTACAGTGGAACCTCCTTCTAACTTTGCAGTACGATGGAACTTAAATACTGTTTCTAGAGAACCAGCTTTACGAATAATTTGCCAACCACTGAGTCCTATTTCCTACAAAAGGTAAAGATAATATATAAATATAATCTATCCCTAAAGAGTATCAAATGTGATATAAACAAATTATTATACATATTTAAATATCCCATTCAATACTGAATTTCTTACTTTATTGCCTTTGTTAGTGAGTTTCACAAATCGTCCTTGAGGATCGGTTTCTGTAATTTCCACGTCCCCTCTAGATGTTCCAGATACGCTATAGTCGGTACTGCTACGTTCTTCACTTTCCTCTAGCAAAGTGCGTTTCCGTTTTCCACCTCGTAATGGAGTATGTCTTGAAGGAGTAGATCTACCACTGGGTACTGATGCACTTGATTGCATAGGATTAATATTTAACCTGTAGGTAAATAAAGACATATAATTATAAGAAACGTTAATAAGATTCCTCCTTATTTAATATTCATAAATATATTAATAACAGATAAAAATTATACACATTTGTATATAGCATTAATTATATTACCTAGCTTCTTCAGATTCCAAAAGTTTCCGATATGCGGCAATTTCTAAATCAAGAGCTACCTTGATGTCCATAAGATCTTGATATTCCTGTAGTTGTTGAGCCATTTCATCACGCACACGAGCCAATTCCGCTTCTAAAGATGCTAAACTTTCTGCATGACGAGTTTTCTCATTTTCACGCAAATTTTCTAAGTCCCTATATTAAAATTTAACAACTCATATAATGATTTAAAATATCTAAAATATGTTAAATTAAAATATAAATTCAACTAATTTATTATAAATTACCTTATTCGTGCATTAAGAGCATTATTTGATGCTTCTAGTTCATTAATCTTTTGATTAAGTGTATCAATTCTCGATCTTGTTTGTCTTAATTCTTCAACAGCTAAACTTGCTGCTCCACTATTACGTTGAGCATGAGCTGTCAAATTTTTAATCTTATTTTCATATAATAATTCAATTTCTTCTCTATTAGCTCGCATTTGTGCTTCATATTGATCTCGTAATTCTTGCAAAGATTGTTGCAATTTAGCCTCATATTTCTCAGCAAGACGACCATCTATCTCAGAGATCTCAACCTAGAATGATACATAATGGAATATTGAAAGTATTAAAAATTTTGTAAACATTTGTAATGCAGTTTCCATAATTTCCATGAATAATAAAGATATACACTGAATAGTAATACACACACAATACATGTGTCTGTATTTTGTTACGATTAAAACTAGCTAAACATCATCAATTACATACCTGTCTCTTTGTTCGTGTTTCTGTTAGTTCTTGTTGATATACTTGATCTTTAAAACTAATATCTTCCTTTAAACTTTGAATATTATTTTCAAGAACAATACGTTGTAAAGTTTCTTCTCCTAGATGCTTACGGGCATCTTCTAGTAATGCTTTCAACTTTTCTACTTCTTGTTTCAATTCTATTTCTCTTTCAGTCAGCTTTTTGCGTTCTGCTTGAGACTGATTAAACTGTGATTGCAAATCATTATAACGTGTTTCATATAATAACAAGTTTCTTTCTGCAGTTTGTAAGTCCATCAACTTTCTATCCAATCTAGAAAATCATACAAAATTTTCATAAAATTCATAATTTTGACTTAAAAAACGTATGCAAAATTCAAATATTCCGGAATGTATATTTTTGAATAGTATTCAAAAATTTAATTTAATTTATGTATATAACATTTCAAAATTAAGTTTAGAATGTAAAACTCATAAATCAATAGTAACAAATATTTATAACCATCTCTTAGACTGCTTTTCATTTTGTATTAAAATTTTGTTTACATTTCTTAAACCATGTACAAAATGAATTTCATCAAAAAATTTTAATCGTTTGAGACATTCCGGCAGTCGGGAAGAACAGATGAGGAGCTTTCGTGTTTCTATTTCAAGCAACGACCCACATCAAGAATTTTATTTTCTACTCGCAGTGTCTCGAACCGTTTTAATATTTCATTACCTTAAAACGTACAGTCTATTAAGCTCAAATATATAATAGATGTCAATATCAGAAAAAAAAAAAAAAAAAAAAAAAAAATATTAAACGAAAATTAGTTCAAAAATTCAACATAGAAATAGTAAACATAAATAAGTTCTGTGGAGTAAAGTAATATTTACAATTTTTTAAAAATACAAAAATTTTTATGCATGATGAAATGTTGCTTCGTGACGAATGTTGAATTTTATTTTCACACAAGGACGCACGTTTTACATTCCTACTGATGCCATTCCTTTTACGAGATATATCATTTTATAACAACCATACAGTCAAAATTAACGTCAGTTAACGTATATGCTACATACATGCAGTCTTATCATGCTGATAACTGCAGAATATTTTACAAAATCCATCTAAATTATCAAGAGGAAAGTTCAATAAAAGAAAAACATTTGTAAAGATTAAGAATATTATGCTAAACGTCTAGATCATGAAAGAAAGAAAAAAAAAAAAAAAATAGAAAAAGAAAACAATAAATAAGTCTAGAGGCCAAAATTACAGAAAATCTTCGATGACGTTCACAGATATTCCATGAATATACTTTATACACGGATATACGTCAATCGAAATATGATCAAATATACTAATTTTATTTGAAATGTACAATGTAAATCACAAAATAAAATATTCAAGTCAACAAAAATGCCAATTTTCAATTCCCTGCTTCGTATTTATACCAGAAGAAACTATATCTTCGCAAATGAAATAACTTTATACATAGTAATTTAGTGCAATTGCTCAGGTAATATGAAATGTATACAATAATATCAAAAATATTTATATACACATATAGTACATAGTTCTTTTCATTTTCCATTTTGCCCATTTAGTCAAATAACATTTCCCGCTTGTTTCTGGTTTTACTCGTATTTTTATCGATTGCTCAACACTCCTTCGAAAGGAGGTCAATGTTTTCAGTCGAGGTTATACATACGGTTGAAAATGACATCACCGCCGCATAGTAAACGTGACACAATCGCTCGTAGTAACGTCACGTTTCAAGTTAGGCACACCCAAATATTCGAAAATTTTGTAAGGAATTTTATCAATGAAACATAATACCCTTATAAATTTCTCTAAACTACTCTTTACCTTTAGAAAAATAATCGCGAAAAAGTAATATCTAATTCAAGGAATACCTTATTCTCTGTATAACTCTCGTTATATTTTTGTCACTTAAAATCCTACAATATAGATGCAATGATCGTTCTTATTATCATTATTAATATTTAAATAATATTATTTACTACTATGAAAATAGTAAAATTATTTCTGTAGATACGCAACGACGATATTTATATTGTATTAAAATTTTACAAATTCTGTGAGTGAATCTCTTTTGCATCAGTATACTAGTGTAAAAATTCCATTCAACATTTGACATGTCTGACTAAATAATATTTAGTACATTACTCGTATTTTATATTTTTTTAAGATAGGTATCAATATTATGTAAGAAACATGCACATTAATCCATTTCTTTAAAAAATCAATTCATAGAAATTTATGTCATTTTAATAAAATAAAGCGTATGCTATTTTTCCAGGAAATGCAACTAAATTTATATCAAGAAATGTAAACAATAATTTAACCCTGAAATTAGATTAAGCATCATTAATATTAAAGCAGCATATAAAGCATTAGTATTTCATTACACATGTTGCATTCATTCATAGTGTACACATGCATTGCTGATTATAACGATAATTCAAACATACAATTGTAATAAATCATAATTATAAAATCTAAAAATACAAACAAAAATGTAAAATTCATTAATTTGTTATACATTTATATTCAAAACTAATCGATTTCGATATACAAAATTTTTTTCAATTTAATATATTTTGTACATATATTTATTTTACTACAAAATAATTTCTTTTTTTATTAAATATTGATATTCATTTTATTATTTACTAGAACAAAAATATTTGAAGTCTGTTATATTTTAATTTATGATATGATCTAATCACAGAGTAAGCAAAACAAAATTTATAAATAGCATTGAAATTACGAATAAAGGCATTTGATGACATCGTTTGTAAACAACTTTGACAGAATTAAACATTTACTTTTATAAATTTGAAGAATGTTAATCGTAAGAAAATAATATATTATTAATACTAAAGTAAAACACTATTTGCAAATTTTTCATAATGAACATATATATCGTTATCATATCTATCCGAATGATAAACTCTATTTACATATAGAATTTATCGATATATTTTTAAATTATATATAACACATAATTAATACAAAAGTAAAATATAAATAAGTATAAATTCATTAGGTTTCAAGTTCATGATATACACACTTACAATCAACCGCAAAACGTCAAGGATGCAGATTATGATAAACTATAAATCTCGTAATAGTCTCGGCCCCGTATTATAAATATACTTGCATTGATTCATATTTCCGAGACATATTATCATTTTAAAAAAATCAAAATGAATTCAGAGAAACTTACTTAGATTTGAGTTCTTCATTGTTATCCCATAATCGTTTTGTATCAATTTCGAGTTTCGCTCGCTCCCTTGCAGTTTCATCCAGTAATTTCCTTGCATCAGATAATTCACGTTCATACATAGACTTTATGTTGGATACTTCGCGGGTGATAGTCTCCTGGGTCGTTTGTACCTCCCGCGTAAGTCTGGAATTCTCGGCTTCCAAATGCCGTACTTTGTCAATATAACAAGCCAAGCGGTCATTAAGATTCTGTAAATCTTGCTTTTCTTGAAGACGTGAATAACGGGTCGGACTCAAAGGACTCCCCGGTCGCTGGCCGATTGGCGTTGACGTGCTGAACTGTGGCGACTGCACGCTGCTACTCGAACATGTCGCTGTGGTCTTCTTAGTTGCTTTCGTTGACATTTTTTCACAATAATCAGTTCTTTTATTGCACTATCACTTGCCTTCGCACTATCGAATCATCAATTTGGTGTACAGTAACACCGTGTCCGTAAAAGACGCTTCTAGCGGATAAAAAACTACCGAAGCCCAAATCCTCCTGCCTCAATCAACGGAAGAGCTGTTTAGCGGTGACGCCAACGTTAACGAAGCACCTCCTTATGTGCATCTTTATATTGCGTTAGTAAACGCAATGGTGTAATATGATAGGTTACATTCATGTATACACAATACTTGTTGGCCAATCACATGTCTTTCCTTCTAACCGCACACCAATAGGAAAAGCTTAATTCTCTAGTGAAACGCGTCAATCTTAAAGCACCTTTTGCTAGAGATTTATACGCAAAAAACAAAAGTTTTAACTTTCATAAAAATTATCGGTATTTAAATAAATCTACATCAACTATAAATTTCACGTTTTATACAATCCGAGTAAAATCTAATTATATTTAAAAATAGTAACATAAGTTGAAAATTTCTATTACAATTTTCGAGATATTAATAGTATTAATAAATTATTATTTTGTTTTACAAGGGAATAAAAAATGTTACAACTAATTAAATGGTCCAAAATAATTGTTAAAATAATTAATATAACAAGTTTTTTATTATCTAATAGTTTTAAATTGCATTTATAGATCTAACATAATGATTCTTTAAAAAATGCCTATTTTAAAAACAATTATTTATGTTCTAATCACATTTTGAACATTTCATACATGATTACAAGATTGAAGTTTAATCTAAAAAAAAAAAAAAAAAAAAAAAAAAA